CAAGTATTTATCAAGCACTTAATTGTAGGAATTCAACAGTGGACATATATTGGTTTGTTAAATGAAAGGAGCTTAGTGAAGAACACTCATAAACCCATATTCTACTCGGAACTTGAACCTTCAACTCTTAATTGAAGAGCAATGTCGTTTTCATTTTGTCCACCTCGTAAAATATCCTTAATCGCCACTAGTTAGAAACTATTAATAAGCTATTGTTGTTCTTGGCGCGTCAGCCGTGTATGGTCCATCGCCTACCAACGGCGGCCCAGTCTCGCGGCCATGGGTTACGTGTGGTTAGCACGAAGACATCCCTACGCCGTTTTCGGGTCTTCTCAACATAAGAAATGAATTTTCTCATCGTCACACAGCAACATATACTGGAAAATTGCAAGCACTGTATAATATTTCCTGACCGGAAATCAAAACCGGGGTCGCGTTATGAAAAGAGAGCAGGCTTACCAATGAGCTAAGCATCCAGTCCAATAAGTATTACATAATTTAATCTATAAAGTATTATCATCATCAAATTTTATATTTACTTCTTGAATTAGTTCAGTCATTAAATTGTATTTGTTTACTTGAAAAACGCTTGCGAACGTAATACATCAACTGCTATTCAAGTAAATCGGTTCTGCATTCAAAATCGTGTTTCTTAATCTGTATTAACAATATGAAGGAGGTTTCTTTCCCAACTAATTTTGCTCAGAAAACAATTTCACATTCTATGAAAAATTCAGAACAATTTAGGGGGAGCATGTTCTTCTCGAAATATTCTTGGTTTGATTGTGGTATGGAATGGGAAATCTCATTTTTTTCACGAATCTCATTTTTCATTGGGAGATCATGTCTATGAATTTCCACTGAGCAGCGAGTTAATATGATTACGTTGAAATCAAGATATGTATGGAAACTGTTTATGAAATAGATCGGTTCTCCACTCAGTGCCCTCAAGAGCTCTAGCAACGGCAAAGAAGCTAAGTCGAGGAAATCCCTCAAGTTAGAACCCGAGCGCTCATTACGGACTTCAACGAACAATAATCCTGTCAAACCAAATGAGTAGTGGAATCATCTCTTGGATAAACCAGTCAGGGTGGAACGCCGGCTTCATCTCCTCTTCCAATTGCCATCTCCTGTGCTCTGCCGAGTTTACCTCTGAAACTTCGCGGACAGCCTCGAGGTCTGTGGAGGAATAGCACCTAACGTATTGGCCCTGGCGCCGTGTCGGATCGATAGCGGCGCGAGCTCTCGTCACTGATGCAATTCCACGGCCGGACGGGCGGGCCGGGGAGGTTGGGTGGGTTGCGTAGGTGGGTGGGGCTGGCGGGCCCGCCACGCGAGCGGTACGGTGGGACGCCGGGGCTTCACGGCACCTGAGTCCTTTGAGGTGCGCGCACGCACGCACGCACACGCCCCGCCAACACGGAAAGGACAGTAACGAAGGGCGCCAAATAACCGGGGAAGCTTCAACTAATCTGATTATTGCGATTTGTAAATAAATTAGCAAATCATTATTTTATTTCACTCCTCTCGATTTTTAGAGTTGGCAACGTTCGTATTCATCAGAGCTCCGGCCAAAGGGGAGAAGCATAACAAATGAACAAAGGCTTATCAATAAAGAATTATCACAAAAATAAACAATCTGTATCATTACTACTTAACAGGGTGAAAATGTTAATTAATTTTTTAAATCAACTCACAAACTACTAAATATTTAACTTGAAGCAGGTATGTAAAATGAAATGTGAGAAAAATTACAAATAGCCGTAAATTATCACTTTAAAAAATTCTTATAAATATATTATTATTATTATTATTTTATCGTAGGGTGTAAGCACTCGAGCAGGTAGAAAACTAAAAATCAAAAAGAAAATTTACAAAATTACTTCGCGGAGAGAAACGTGGGTACTTTACAGGGTACTTTGAGAAATAAATCCCAAATGAAATTGAACTTTTTAAAATGAAATAGGGAAGCATGCTGAAATGAATTATAGTAACATGTGACTGTAAACTTCTCCCAATTATTTGATTCGACAGAAATCATAATGCTGTCACTAATGCAATAGAACGCATTTTAGCAAAGCTGTACTTTGAGTACGATGCCTTGAGTACATATTCTAAATTTATAAAACCTAACAAATGATTATTTGGTTTTGCCGAAACAAATTCAATCACACATCTCCCGCTACCCTCACATTTACATAACGTAAAGTAATCAATTTTTTGTTATTTAAGATCGCATCAACATCTAGGTTATTAGCGATAACTATTGCATTTAACGGTATGGTAACTGTGAAGATGATATGATATGGTGATGATAGGTAGTGAAAGGATGATGATAGGTAGCGAAAGGACGAATATAACTATGCGCGAGGCGGGACTCGAACCCGTGATCCTTCGGTTCGAGATCGCTACGGCACTACTGCCTTAATGATCTGGGCCACTGGACTGGCAAAGAAGGTATTATTATGTCATAAAATGTACTTTCAAATCCCAGAGAGAATTTATATTTGGAAAATGCTAACGCATTCGACGCTTAAAGAATTAATAATAATGTTTACAATATGTAACGTTTACTTATTGATTTGTTTGTTTTGTAACATTCTAGTATTCTGAAAAGAAAGCGTAGGTAAATACCATTAAACTCGACCCTCCAGTGCACACACACACAAAAAGCGGAGAGAAATCCCTCTTGAAAATCTCTTCTGTGATGCAAAAGACTGCCACTTTCAGCTAAAGTTTGTAAGGGTCTAGACGAGCTTAGCGCTGTTGTCAGTCTAACGACAGGATCAGCCCCTTGCAATTCATCCTGGGCTCGTGGGCGGCGAGAAGACACATGTGGTACCTCTGATGCTTTTCTTTGGCTTAATGCAGGCAATCTTGCTTCTTCAGTCGCCTACAGGAAGTTCAGAGGGGTTGGAATTTAAATCATGTACTATTAGAGAAGTCCGAATGAGTTGTTGTATGCAGTTGCAAGAGCGCAACTGATGTATGAAATGGAGTTCCAATGGGGGCGGACATTCGACACCGGTTGAGTGGCTAATTAGTAATTCCGGGCGTGTCAACTGATAAGGTGTTCTCGTAGGTGTAGTGCATGTTTTGTCGCGGGAGGGAGGGTCTCCCGCTGGATGGCGACATGCGGCTGGGGCGGTGCCCTGCTGGTGAGGAAGCCCTTTTAGCAGCCGGTAGGTCGGCACCATATCTCACATCCAGCGAGGAAAGATCACGGCCACCTCTCGAGGGAAAAATGAACTACACTTACGGGAATATCAGCTGAAGGGTGCAGGGATAATCAATCAGTCAATCAACTAGTTATCTCCCACCAGAGGGGCAAGCTCCAAGCTCCCGCCTGATCTCCCGGCATGTGTGGTGCATATACGTGTGCATGTAAGTAAGCGGTGAGGACAAGACAAGGTATAGAAAGGAAATACCGCGCGCGGTCCGTGAAACGTTTGTTAGGGTACTGCTCCGACATTCGCCTGCTCGTGATGGTAGAAACCACGAAAAGGTACCGACCAGAACAGTCGGCTGCTAGAAGTCTCTAGACAGCGGTTGAATTCAACCTAGCTATGTAGCCAGTGTCGAAAATTCTTCGTCCGTAGGGACTCGAACCCTTGGACTTCCCGTTAAGAGGCACTGAAGTGACATTAATTGATGCCCTGAGTCACCACAACCGATTTTTTGACAGTGCCAGCATTGCCACTGCCTCTACAGCGTCGGTAATCGAGAAGTTATAGGGTTTGAGTCCCGGTGGTGGCAAATTTTCCACCCAATTTTATTAGGTCGAGATATAATCCAACTACTGTGTGGGAGAAATAACCTAAAAATAAAACCGGCAAATGAGTAATTTAATGCTGAAAGATGGAGAACCGGAAGAGGAAAAAATATATTTTATAAGATAAGCCGACTTTAATAGTTTCTTTTATTACTAAAAGTAGTCATTGGTATCCTTGTCTTTTAGACTGTAATTTGTACTTCCCCTCTTGCATATAAAGAGAAAATAAAAATGAAGAATTACACATTTCCCCTCATTATACTGGTAGAGGAATGTCTGCACAATTTTGTACGGTATAATTTGCACAAGACCATCCACATTGTAATGGGCACCTCTTAAGTGTGATTAATGATTGAAAATGAAAATTCAGCGTATATTCAGGGCATGTGAGAGAAGCCAATCAAAATCTCGTTGGAGTCACTCTTCGTCTAGGGCAAATATCCCTAACGGCAATCAGGATTTTATGCTCGGCGCTTCGAGGTACTTGCCGGGCGCACGGCCCGCTGTGCTTCGGACCCCATCGGGCTGGAAGTTGGAGCGAAATCAGCCTCGCGTGCTGCCCTTTGCTTTGCCTGATATTCCTGCAACCCTCACCCTGGCCTCCATGTCGCCGACGCAGCCCCTGCGTCTCTTTCCCGCGACTCCGTATCCATCACGCTTCCTGCGGCTACCACCACTCATCACGCTCCCCGTGACCACCCAACTCCCCATGTCCATCACGGTCTCAACGCCTATAGTTATTCTTACACCCTTTTCATGCTCTCCACGCTCATCTTGCCCCCCTACGTCCGTCATGATCCTCGTGTTCATCATACGCCTCACGTCCATGACGCTCCCCACGTCCGACACTCTCCCCACGTCCGTCACGCTCCCCACGTCCGTCACGCTCCCCACGTCCGTCACGCTCCCCACGTCCGACACGCTCCCCACGTCCGACACGCTCCCCACGTCCGACACGCTCCCCACGTCCGACACACTATCTACTGCTCTCATGCACCAAACGGGCATCAAGCTATTCATATCCATCACGCTCCCCACATCCATCATGCTCCCCAGGTTCATCACGCTCTACATACCCATCAAGTTCCCTACATACATCTCTCACTAGGCTGGTAAGTTCTCTATACGAACTGTCACAATTCACACATTCTTCTGTTGTCTCTTTCCACGACCCCGTGCATCGCCTGCTCTCCCGATCGGTACACCCCACGCTCTCCAGATCGCATACATGTCCCGCATCCTCCAACCTGTTCCACATCCACAGCCTGCGTCCTCCCGCGCCGCGAGCCTCGCTGACCGCGCTGGCCGTTTCGTGTCCTCAGCGGCGCGCATCCTGCAGTCGCTGGACCGCAGCGCGCAGCCCTGCGAGGACTTCTACCAGTTCGCGTGCGGCGGCTGGATCCGGCGCAACCCGGTGCCCGAGTCGCAGTCCTCGTGGGACCAGTTCCGCGTGCTGCGCGGCGACCTGCTGGTGCAGCTGCGCGGTGAGTGGCGCGCCCCCTCCGGGCACCGGACCCCGACGCCGCGCTGCGACACAGCACGCCCCCGCGACCCCGCACGCCCAAGGTTCTTAGTCCCGTAAGAGTCGTGCATGCAATATCCCGAAAGATGGTGGTGTTCCTTCCCAACTGAAAGTGAGAATCGGCGCCGACCTACAGATCCTGAGGCCTGTGGAGTTGTCGCCTCCAGCGCGGCCCTGCGGGACAAGCTCTAAGTTCCTGACTGGTCTCCCTTCATGTGCGATAGTGTGGTGTTTGTAAGTGAGGAAGGATATATTGCGCGCGGCCCGCGGCCGTACTGTTAGGTTAACAGTCGCTTGGTATTGTTTGTAAAAATCATGGTAGAGACGAATCAGACCAACCGGTCATTAAAATTCTCCTCCAGACAGTGGTTGAAAAAGCTAATCGTTAAAATGCTTTTCCACAACTATTACTTTTTATATCATTTCGAAATTCACGTCACAAAGCAATGTAGTATTCCTCACTATTCTAACCACAATAATATTCAAAACGTTATTAAATAATGAATTTAACTTAGCAACAACATTGTACTTGCTAATATAAAAGAATATCTTGTCTTTAGTTGAATGGAAAAGCACAGAAATATTTTCTACAATTAAAGAACCATCCGTGAAATATTAAACACAAACATTATCACGCATTGATTTGTCTCTTCTTTTTAAGCTATCAAGTACTTCATGGTAAAAAATACGATGAAAACTGAAAATACGTCAAAACTGAAAAGAATGTCCACAAAACATAAAAAACAATTGATTAAATCGCAGATATTCACAGACCAGTGGCAAGCGATAACAAAATACGGATCTCTAAAGCTATCCGCCTGGAATATAGATAAAAGGCAGAGCAGAATTCATACAGATAGAATACAGATAGTATTTACCGAGCTCGTCTGAGATTATATGTATTTTTGAGTGTTCGAAACCAAACAATTCTCATAAGAGTAAATTGCAATCTTAGTTGACGTCTTAGACGATTCAAATTTACGAAATATTAAACCTCACTGACAATAAATGCAAATCACAACACTAAATCAGAAAATTTGCAGAAACGAGGATCTCCTAGGTTGTGCTCAATCAGATACCACTAATCCTCACTTCCGGCTTCCGCCAGCGTATACCCCGCAGCTGTTAGTTCAGCCCTTGCCACGCGGAGCGGGGACGCACAATAGACTGGCACGGCCATATGCCGTGTTTACTCTCCAGTCTATCGCGAAGGCCAATAGACGCTCGTCCCCTTGCGAGCATCCCTCCCCTCCCCACCCCTCCCCTTCCACCCTCCCGCCACGGCCTGCGGTTCCTGTGCGGCGACGGCCTCCCCGCTGGCGATCGCACGCCTCCCTTCCCCCTCTCTGCCTCCCCCCTCCCCACACACCCCTCTCCCTGCACCGCCCTTCCGCATACCAAGGAGCTGCCCCTCTCAGCACATCTCTCATGACGAGGGCGTGGTTCTACCCACGAGGCAAATCTGCTCCTACATGCGGGTAGGGGGATTTGTTTTAGATATCCGTCTTCTAATTGTATATAGAGATGTTTCGCAATTTTTTATATATATAATGTACGTCTCCAGGAAAAAGGACAGACTTAAATAATCGGAATCTACGCAGTTCTTTCGAATAAGACTGTACTCCCTCCACACCTCTTACTGCATGGCCATGGTAAGTTCTATGAGAAAAATCGTCTGAGAATCCATTTTTTCATCCCGTTTCTAGGAACAAAAATAAATATTGATGTGTAATATCGCTCTCTAGGAAATCATATGGACTATAATAATGAGAATATTCCACGTTTTTCAGAACAAAACTACTTCCCTACAATATTGCATCACCGCAGAGAGTCTCTCGAAATACTATGTGCATACGAGATTACATAAGAATTTTTCTACACATCTTTCATTTCATTTCGAGTCATACGTTTTCATAAACTTTGACACGTATTTCACATATCCTTTATGATAAAATATCAACCCTAGTAAAATCTAGAACGACGTCAGATGAATACTTCCTCCATCACCAAGGCCGTGGCATAACGTAAGAGACAAATTTTAGCACAAAAGCTTAAACAGAAATTTATACTTGCAATCATACTATTATTCCGTTTGTAAACATAATTTTCGGTATACAGTATTCTTCTGTACGCTAAATAATTAAATGTGTTTGTGGGTATTGCGTATTAACCCAAGAAACGTAAAAGGAGAAATAAAATGCAACAGCTTTTTTATTAAGACGGATCATTCCTTGCATATATTACACCAAGTCCATGGTGTGTCACGAGGGGAAATGAACGCATACGCAACAGTTAAAGTTACATTTTCTTCTTGTCATGTAACTCTTCTGGGTGTTGTAATTCCCGATACCTAATATTTTACTCTGGGCAATGATTCACACTTGATTGTTAATAACTATGATATTATAAAATTAGATTTCAAAAACATATGTCAAGAAACGTAAAATTTAGCATAACCTCACTCCTCTGACCTCATGAAGAAGATATGCGCATTCGAGGTGGGAAGGGCAACCATCGATTATTTCCTTTGTAAGATGAAGTTTCTCGAATATTTACATGTATTATCTTTCCCTGCAGTAGACCGTCAAACTCCGTCTTTTACTTCGTTTATATAAGCTTTATTCGCAAAATCTGATACGAAATATCTCTTCATGGGTAAAAAGTTAACCTTACTTCGAAATTAATATACGGTTTTGTTTTTCACACATTTATCTTACAAACAGATTTTGCTCGATTCATCCCTTAACTTTTACTATTTATTTTCTAAATTTAATTCATTATTTTTTCTTCTTTTGAGCCAACATTTTGTAATTAGAAGAGTAAGCCATCCGAAAAAGGGTTTAATGCTGTAAGCTACAACCATCTACACAGCAAATATCTATTTACTCAATAATTTAAAATAGTTTACTATTGGAAAACCTTTATAACTTTTACTACATAATAAGTACTTTCACAAATACTACATTTTTATACCATTATCCATTATGTGCTAGCATTAATGTTGTATATGGCGATCCTTGCAGACAAAGGATCATTGTAATTTGTGCTTCCATCTGGAAAATACGAAACTTGCCGGGATGTGGGAATGAAGAAAAGAACGAGCTTCCTATAATGAAGACTACGTCACTTCCGCTCGCCGCGGGGCGTGTCCCTCCGACGTCTTTCCCTTCTCCCCCTCCTCCGCTTCGTCCTACGCCTCATCCTTTCCGACTTCCTCCACGCTCCGTCTTCTACTTCCCGTCTTCGGCGGCAGCGCGCGCTGTGGGCCCGAGGCACGCCCACACGCAGCCCCGCCCCGCGCCGTCCGCACGTGACCGGTCGGCGCGGAACCGAATACAACACCCGGACACATCCCCTTCGGACGTGGACACGAAGCCGCAGACGTGAATGGAAACACCTCGCAATTTATTGCGTTTACTCGCGAGAGCCGCGCAGGTCTTGCGTTGATAAAGCTCGCTTCGTTGAAGAGTTGTTGTGTGCGAACGTGTCTGAAGGAGGAAGCACGAGCTTCGTTATTGGAGTGATTTATGACGTTGTGGTGACAGATGTTTTAAAAAATTAAGATAGTTTAATTCTATCTACATGACAGTTTCTTTTCATCGATGTATGATCCCAGAATATTCCATGTTCATAAAATATTCTTCTTAGTTGTGACAGTCTTAATTAAAAATGTGTGGGAGGTGAGGGGGAAAGTTTCCTACTCAAAATTTTGAAGATTTATAATAATGTAATTTATTAATACTTTGTTTCTAAAAATAATTCATATCTTCACGTTTTTATTCTACATGTATGTATTAACAAAGTTTTTAAAATTAATTTTTGAATTCGTTGTTATTCCGAAATTTCAGAAAATAATAAACTAATATCTCTCTCCCATTCGTAATTACCCTCCATCTCCCTCTCTTTCTAGTAGATATTCAAAGAGTATTCTGTAATTTTATATTAAGATATTTTTTCAAACTGATTGTTTTAAAATCATTCATTTTTAACAGCTGAAATGTTAAACCAAGTATAATTAAGGTGCACCTACATGCCGAACGCTATATGTAAGACAAAACTCGCTCCAGTGTTCTCCCGAAATCGTAAAAGGGACACCAAAAAGTGTCAAATTCAAACGCCAGAATATTGTAGCCGTCTCATCGCATTTTTCATTCAAGAGACATTACACAGTTATACATGTGTGCGGGTAGTAATTGCGGGGATCTGGCTACAAATTTGAAATATGTTGAACAGAATTAAATAATAAAGGAATATTTTCGGCATTCCTAAAATGAAAAAGTTATTTTTCAACATAATTCAGAAAATATACTAGAATAGTACTATTGCATCTCTAATGACAAAAAAATTGAAAAAAATAATTTGGCACAGTTTTGAGATATTTTTTTACTCATAAAGATGTTCTTCTTTAATGATAAAGTTTAAACTGCTTTCCATCACATTTATTTGGGAGAGTAATCATAAACGGGAACTCTATACTTTGTTGATAAAGAGACGACACTACTTTCTAAAAAAGCTGAAGGCAGGCTTCGAATCCGTAATCCTGAAACCGAAGCGTTAATCCTGTCACCTCCCCGGCACCTGGATCAACACCGCTCCACAACGAAAATACGGAGAACTCTGCTTCCCTTGCAGAGCTCCTGGAGGCGAAAGGCTCCGACGATGATCTGCAGCCCGTGAAACAAGCGCGCGCTCTATACCGCACCTGCATGGACACAGGTAAGCTCCCACGGGAATATCTATTTATCCCAAAAGAAGTTAAAGAATAAATTTCTAAAATAGTTTATTTATTTATTTACATAAACAAAATTACAAATTGTATCTAACACTAATCAAAATCAAAATTAAAAATATTAAATGTACAGAAGTAAAGAAACTCTCCTCCACTTCTGTTTGGATACTTACGCAAGTATAAATTTTATGTTTTAGCAATCGTCAAGATCTATGATATGCAAATATATTTTACAACTGAGATTTCGTATCTAAATTTATATTGTTTTATATCAATTTTCTTGCAAACTGCTTTTATTGTAATATGAATAATTGATTTTGTTCTTAGTTGTTTTTTTTAGTAATTCCTTAGACAAATACTAAAATACTTTGTTTGCTTCTGCATAATAAATTTTACTTCAATCCATCTTAAAGTTACAGTTGATATTGTTAACTGGGGTTAAAAAATTACTATTTGTGTTATTATTATAAAATTAAATGTATGTCATATAAATGTGTACAATAATCATTTCTCAACTAAATTTATTTGGGCTTGAATTTAGAAAAACACAACAGTCCAATTCAACGAACGATCACCCATTTCTGAAAACGAAAAAAAACACTGTCGTCCTATCGACTTAAAAAAATTCGTCCACTAACGGGAAGGGTCTCCTCCGCTTGTCCGCTTCAAATATTGACCGAAAGAAAGCTTCTCTCAGAAACTTCTTTTCTCCGGTACATCTTCAGAGCCCACTCTAGCATCTCCACATACGAATGTTACGTCGAAAGATAAATAGTTGAACTGTAAAAGTAAAATAATTCTTTTCGGAGAAAGAAAAAAAATCACTTCACTTGATTCTCGTTTCATTTCCTACAAGAGATGCATTGCAAGCATGCGAAAGAAAGGCAAGTCGTAAAACCTAAGGAAGTTTTGAAGATACATTGTTTATGTGTAAGATATCGCTGAGATAAGTTGAAATATTGACACTACAGTCGTGTAGTATAAAAGATAAGACTCTTCATAAGTAGTTCAAAAACTTCGAAAGGTCAAGAGTTGAGACCGTGTAAAGCATTTTATCCTGCAAGAAAAATAAAGTTTCACTAAAATCCTTCAAAAACTCTCATTTCTGGAAGCCAATCTTTGAAGCTTAAAGCGAACAAAGATGATCTATATCTTTCCTAAAAAAACGTTCCTTGGAACACAAAAAGAAATCATAGTATGCTTCATCATTGCATGGAGGCAATCATGAACAAAGTCATCAAGCAAATCATTACAATAAGCAGCCCCTTTTCCATTAATGTAGTTTAAAATACTTATAAGTAGTTAAGTCAAGAATAAGTACAAATTTCACATTTTTGCTTGTCATACTTCTTTCGAAATAATGTCGTTCTAAGATCGTAACATTAATTTATGATTAAATATTCCAATCACTCTATATCCTTTAAACATTCTCCTCCTACCAATTACACTGATGGCTACATGTGTAGAGGAAGGAGAGCAAAAGAGGAGAGGAGCAAAAAGGGGGAAATAATGAGGGTTCGACGTCTTGGAAACCTACCAAACTACCCTTTCGTTAACTGCTGATGAGGAAATTTCCGTCTAAAAGTCTTCGATCGGGCTGAATTAAGCCGGGAATCTGGTCCGACGTTTACGGATTTTAGACCGATGAACATGAACCAACACACTGAATTCTGCACTCCAGACAAGGAACGAGATGTGGAGAATGACCACTAAAAGAGAGGAAGAGAGCAAATGGGAAATGAAATTACGATTGAAGACACAGTTGCATAATAAGACTCCTTTTCAAGGGTAAAAATGCTAGTTAACAGAGTCATGCAGAAAATAAGATAGTAGGGAAAGGCAACGTGTAAATTGGTCGAGCTAAAACAGTGTGTAATTCCTCGGGTTATTTGTAACTTGAATTTTTGAAAATTCATAGAGTTCAACGAACATTGGACCTGCGCTTCTCATACGCGGATTTTGCACTATTCGAGTAAAGAACTCAAAGAAAAAATAGAAAATGAAAAATAGAAAATTTTTGAGAAAATCTCTTTCAAAATTGCTTTCGTAGATACTCGCTTTGCTATCCCAGGCGGTGCCCACGTACAAGACCAGAAAGACGAAGAGACAAACAGATGTATTGTCAGGCAATAAAGTAGAAAACAAGAAGAATCACAGACAATCACACATACAGAGGCAAGGCGATCAGAAGACTGTGTGCTCAAAATGACAAAAGCTGTTAGCATTCTTATCACACTGTACAGGTATTAGCAAAATACAGATACAGGCAACGATAACAGGCAAACAGATGTAATAAGAGAATAAGTCAACAAACAGCAAGTTTACAGACACACAAGGAGAGGCGAGACGATCAGAAGACGTAGGCAATGAACTAAAAACGCAAAATGGTGATAGGACAATCACCACGATGCTCTGGGCAGTTCTGGCGGGCAATGACAGAGAACAACGCAGTGGAAGATAGACAAGTAGGTGTAGTGACACGCAATTAAGTACTAAACAGCATTAGTATAGACTATCACGCATACGACTGTCTGTAAACGCAGATTATGAACTAATAACGTCAAAAGTTGCACAGCTCTGCCCCGGGCAGTGCCGAAGCACAAAGATGACCGATCATGAAGACGAAGACAGGCAATCAGGTAATTAACAGTAGGATCTATCGACAAACAAACAGAGGCCAGACGATCAGTAGACATAGACAGTGAGCTCAAAACACTTAAAGCTGTGTGAATATTCAACACGTTACCCTGGGCGTTGCCGACGTAGATGAAGACAGGTTAGCAGGTAGCAAACAATCAGACAAGCGCACAGAGGAAAAACGATCAGAAGCCTTCACCAAAGAGCTAAAATCGTTCAACTCGGAACAGCGTTTTTCGAGAAACCTTATATGACATTATTCAAAGCACATGTACTCAATAATGTGAACAAATTTCCGCTAATGTAAACGGAAGAACGAACGTTTTGAAAAAAAATAATTTTTTTTTCGGTATCAGGAGACCCTAAAACGCGTATTTACGTTGAAATCTGGAAATCGATTTTCCGCAGCATTACATAACTTTCCATATACTACGTATATTACTCCGTATATACGTACTATACGGGAAAGTAAAAATAGAAATGCGAAGAATAAATATTTCTATAAAAAATATATTTTTCTTTATAAGCCATCTATTTCTATATAGCCAAACCGACCCCAATTCAAACAAAATTGTAGCTTTAAGAAGAAGACACCATAATACTGAAAACACGTATCAACCCATGATCTCCTAATTTTGAGTGCAAGCGCGTGTTCACACCGCGCCCCGGGCGCGTGCGCAGAGCGGCTGGAGCAGATGGGCGTGCGGCCGATGGTGGGCGTGCTGCGGCAGCTGGGCGTGGGCGAAGCGCCGCCCCCGCCGGGCGAAGCCTCGCGCGCCCGCCCCGCGCCCTTCGACTGGGTGCACGCGCTGGGCAGCGCGCACCGCGTGCTGGGCCTCAACGTGCTCTTCGGCTTCTGGGTCAGCCAGGACATGCGCAACACCAGCCGCAACCTCATGGTGGTGAGTACTCGCTGGGCCGTGGACCGTGCTCTGGAGACGCGGCAGAGGCCGTGGCTACGCGGGTGTAACGGTTAGCACTGTTGAACCCAATTCGCGGATTCAAGCCCGATCGAATTCTTGGATTTTTTTTAGAGTCGAAAAAAAATTCTGCATACCCTTTCCTTCGGAGGGGAAGTAAGACTGGATGTCCCATCTGGTAAATTATTGTATTTATGTAATCCGATCGAATTCTAGGATTTTTTTTAGAGTCGAAAAAAAATTCTGCATACCCCTTCCTTCGGAGGGGAAGTAAGACTGGATGTCCCATCTTGTAATTTACTACATTTAAGTGATCCTCGAGTCTACAAGAAGCGTCTCCGATGAATTCAAATCGCCTGTTTCATCGCTCCTCTCTTTGGCAGACGGTGAAAGGAGGGTTGAGGAGTTTGCGCGGTCAGGCAGAAGAGCAGAAAAGAAGGCATAATTGAATTTTCTCTACTCCCAATCGGTCATTTGATGGATACAATCAGTTGCATAGTGATAGTCTTTACGGTACGCATTTAATTGTGGTAGAGCCTCTTGACCAATCGCAGAGAAGTTTACGAACAAAGTATTGACACTTAATCTTTGAGTAATGCCCATTACAACATCATCGTATCATAAGGTACTATATTGAAATGAATTGCAGTGTCTCCGACTGAGAGTTTCTAAGATTCTTGGTGGATTTTCGGCACTGAGTAGAATTCAGACACTGCATGGAGGATCATTCTAGACGTCGGCTGCTCTGGTCGGTAGTTTTCTGTAGTTTTTACGATCCATACCAGACACATTAGTATGCAATATTCTAATAAACAGGCGACGGACACCGCGCGATCTTTCCTTTCTCTTTCTTGACCCCTGTTCATTCATTCATACATACATACATACATACATACATACTCGTACATACATACATACATACATACATTACACACATACATACATACATACATACATACATACATACATACATACATACACACACATATACATGCATGCATTACACTACCACAATGCCGGGCACCAGTCGCGAGCTTTGAGATTGTCTTGCTTGGGATTATGCTCCGCTGGCGAAGATACCCAACGGTGGGAAACCCCCCAATCCCCTGGCCTATAGGCCTGCGTCTGAACTGCCGTTCCCGGCTGACCAACGCATCTACTTCCAGGGATATAACACTTCCAGAACTATAGACTATAGCAGTTGACGTGCCTGAAAATAATTAATCAAATTAATCCGTAATTAATTGCCGTAGCCCTACATTAGCCCTGCTATATTTTGAAGTCTCGTCTACCAATAGTCGTGAATTTAAAATGTGCACTACTTATTCCCAATTTCCCAATTCGCCAGGGTCTTTATCCGGTAATATCCATGCAACAAGTTGATAGTATACGCTGTGCTCTTTATGGAATGTAGGTGTGAAACTACTAAACTACGAAAAAATTATCCCTTGATCTAATGACGAATTGGATATAGACACACAGAAGTGTTGTCTCATTTGCTGACTTTTTGAAGTCAACGCTCTGAACAAATTGTATGGTGTATATAAAGCAAAATGATATGCCAGTTTTACATACACAAAATCAATTCCAAATCATATTTAGCTGCTTTTATCTAACAGAAACATACTGCAATAGCTTTGTAACCCAAATGCTTGTATTCTAACTTATATATCCGTATTTTTTTAAGATCGTAACATTGGTTAGTTTCCCTTGACTATAATTACATTGTAACATATGTAATAAACAGAAATCATTTATTGGACGGATTTAAAAAGAAAATTAATCCTTGAATCTAGTGGTCTTCAAAACAGTTTGAAGCTATTTAAACACGAATCATTGCTGCACATTGGAACGTGCTATGTTCTAGGAAACTCATTGGACGTTTACAGCGAATTCAATTTTCTGACCGATTACATTTTCACAAATTTTGCGTAAAGATGTTTCCATGAATCACCCACATGAGTAAATGTGGCATTTCCTGGAAATGTGAAATTCTAGGGATGCAATTCGATGCGCAGTTCCTAAAAAATTATTGGCTGTGTCTGCCTAACACATGTTTTTTGAATTTGCTGCCTATCACACTTGCCATTCCTCTTAAGATTACAATACAGGAAAAATAAATTCTATTACATAATTAGTTTTTCCGACGGATAGTGAATCACATTAGTATGTACAAAATATTATCACAATATTACAACTCATTGAAAATATTGTAATCATTAGATATTTAGATGCCTCTTCGGCTAAAATACTGTGTTCCGGGAAGTCAAAACTTGCGAGTGAAGTCAAAAATTGCAAGTGAATTCAAAAAGTACAATAATTGTCTGCAGATTGACGTCATTACTATTATATTTGATAAAATATTCTCTAAACCTAACATGACCAAAGCAACGAAATATCAAACTCTTTATTTCTTTTCTTAATACATAAATTAATTCCTTATAAATTTTTCATAAAAGTAATAATTTTATTTCTATATCAAAATAATTTGCTAGAAGTAATTATTACCACGTTCAAAAGGAAGCAACTTTTTGGCCTCAAATTGTGATAATTACAGGCGGAAATGATATTGAGATGAAGAAAGATGAAAAAGAAGGTACTGATCACTTTAATCATCATTATGTTTCAGGAGACCTCTCTTCATAAAAATCGTCGTTTTTAATGACTCCAAATAAAATTCATTCCAAATTCAAAGAAAATCGAACAAAACATTTGCTCCTGAATGCCTAAGAAACAAACTTACAATCGAAATGACGAACTATCGAGTTCAAAAGATACCTTGCTTTGCTTATTTAATAAATTACCGCCAAGTGTTGAATCTAAAAAAAATTACCAATTTTTTTCTTTTTCAAAATATTCATTACAAACCGAATAACAAAACTTAGTACTTCTGAAATTCGACACTATACAAACTAACACTGTGACAAATAAATAATGAATTTGCAAAATCACAGAGCGCTGCTTTTAAATCACCTATAATTGGTGCCGCGTTTATTATTACAAACAACGCACTCTTATCAGTTTTGTTTCAAATAGCATTATATGAAATTTCAGAGGAAAGTATACTATTTTTAATGTCATTCACATGAAAATGATAAGTATTGACGAATTACTATTAATATATTCACGTATGTTTTCGCAATTGCACGCTTTTTGTACCATAACTCAAGGACTTTTATATTACACTGTTTTTGTATGTTATTGTCACACCACTAGGTATAAATGTATTCCATATTAAATAAAGGGGGTGTGTTAACCGATTATTGATAAGAAATTACGCAATTTTTGCCCTTTTGTCAAGGAAAATTAGAGGAGAAAAAAACAAATCGTGTAAGTGGCCGTTGTTGCTCAAAGTGGCTCTAATCGGATTTCCATTGGTCTCTGGCGGATGCGTTTAGTTACACTTTCACGGACAGCTCTGCAATTCCTGGAAAGCTTCATTCTATTAACGTCCTCGCGGGATGTGCCGGTTGATCGGCGCGAACGAACGTTGGGGGAACAAGGCAGTGGGCCGACAAACGATTGACTACAGTGGCAGAACAATAGGAAAAGCTAGAATACTACGTAAAAACTAGAATACAGGAACTGAAAGTAGGACTACTGAAAATATTGAGATAAAATCCCAAGAGGAGAAAATTAGATTGCTAAAAAAGAAGACTGGTAAAATGCATTACGCAAATGGAATTAAACGACTGTATCATTGCTAATGACATTTGCAACGTATAGGATCAGGACTTATTATGAAGGGACATGCTGATAGAGTTGCGGTGAAATGAAAGGTAAAACTGGGATATTTTTGCTCAATCTGCCTAGGGTACTGATAAAATACTATACTTGCGTATTCATTAAACCATCAGTCGCACGAATTAACTATGATGTTAAGATTCACGAAAAAGTTTAATAAACATTTTGGTGAGGGGAAACAGATTTACAGTAAATCGTCTTAATCCCATTACAGGATAAAACGTATATAATTAATAAGGGAATTCTGGTCCTACCAAAGGGGAACGCACGTGTAGTAGTTGCCAATTCTCCGAATAGTTATCGGTATAAATGCTGCTGAAATTAAAAAAGAAACAATGTGTCTGCAAAATTTAAGGTGGGCAGTGAGTTGCCTATAAATTTTAAATACAAGGTATGAAAACGTAAAAAAGGAAAACCAAAACAGGTCTTAAATTTTTCTAGGGAGAGAATTCGCCTGACAACGCACATAAAATTCATAGAAAAAATGAATAGACTAAAGCTGTATAAAAATATAAACTGAAAACCTGAGTCGTAAATGAAATATATGATGGAAGTATAGAAAAGAAAAAAAATTGAAGGCTCAGCAAGAACAAAACCGGTGAGTCCGAATTATATTGTGGCCGCAAGACAGATGTGAGCCGGTGAACAAAAGGAAGGGACGGGAAGGGAACAGGAATGACGGGCAGAGTCGGGTGGGTGGACAGGCGGGAGGGCAGATGGACAGATGGACAGGAGGCAGTCGGACAGGCGCACGTCGAACGCCCAGCGACCACGCGAAGCGGCGCGGCGCGGCGCTGCGAATCAATTGGTGTCGCTTGCGGAGGGGACGGGGGTGGCGAGGGTGGCGGAGGGGGGCGGTGGCGGGTGACAATTGCGGGAAGCAGGAGACAGCGGCGCAGGGGGGCGATTGCGACAGTGAGGAGGGGTTGGCGGAGTAGCGCAGCCGCGGAGGCAGGCTGTAGGAGTGAAGGGAGCGGCGGGGTGGCGGTCGCCGGCGAATGAGGCAGGGAGGCCGGACGAGGCGGAGGAGGCCGAATGGGCGGGGAACGCAGGGCGATGGCCGGGGGTCGAGGGCGATGGGGGGGTCGAGCGGGCGAGGGCGATGGGGGGCGGACTGGCGGGGGGCGATGGCGGGGCGATGGCGGGGCGCGATGGCGTGGGGCATGGCGGGGGCGATGCGGGGGGCGATGGCGGGGGCGATGGCGGGGTCGAGGGCGTGGGGGGGTGCGAGGGCGAGGGCGGAAGGGCGGGGGGATGGCGGGGGCGATGGCGGGGGCGGCATGGCGGGGTCGAGGGCGATGGCGGGGCGAGGGCGCGATGGGCGGGGTCGAGGGCGATGGGCGGGTAGGGCGATGGCGGGGTCGATGGGCTATACCGGGTGGCGAAATGCGGGGGCCAAGGTACAGAGACAAGGCTGTGCAGATGCAGTCGAGAGCGAGCGGGGGCGGTGAGGGAGGGTAGATGCAGATGGGGGACGAAAAATGGTGAGAGGTTCTAGAACGCTTGGAGATGGGACGGGGTTTGGGACGATGCGGTTGAGAGCAGAGGCGGTGGTGGACACAAGGACAGATTCTGGCAGAGGCAAACGAAGAGAAAGGACGAGGATGGGATGCGGATAAAAGCCAGGACCGGGGGACGAACGCGGAAAGGAGCGGGAACGGCGACTTACTCGGGATGAGGAAAGAGGTGAGGTTGTGCGTGCGACGTGGACGAGCAGGGACGAGGCGAGGCCGGTGGTAGGTCAAGGGGTGAAAACGTGTAGGGAGTGCGTAAGTGGGGAAGAGACGGGGACGGATCTGGAAGGCAGGCGGAGGCGGACCTGCAGCGAGGCGGGGATGTTAGGGCAAAGGTGGGGGACGAGCAGGAACGAGAAGGGGCCAGAAAGATGCGTCCAGAAACGGAGGCGAGCAAGGGGGTGTATGAAGTTGCGTCTGTGGCGTAGCTGGGGTCAGGCGTGGGCGGAAATGAACCCGCAGCGGGTCGGGGATACTAGGACAGCGGTAGGTAAAAGTGGACGAGCAAGAGAGACGAGGCGAGGTCGGAAGTGTGTCCAGGGACGTACGGGTAGGGAATGTATAATACCGGGGGTGATGACGGAACTGGATGGCAGGCGGACCTGGAGCTGCAGAGGGGTGGGGATTTTCGGGCAGCGGGGAGGAGTGAGTCGACGAGAAGGAACGGGACAAGGCGGGAAAGCTGTGTCCAGAGACGGAAGCAACTAGGGGGGTAAATGAGTTTGGGAGGGGGTTCAGAGGCGGATCTGAATGGCAGGCGTGGGCGGAGGCGGACCTGCAGCGGGGCGGGGATGTTAGGGCAGCGAGGGCAACGTGTGTAACGGGGACCGCGGGCGCAGCGGAAGGGAAGGCTGGCCGGGCGGGAGTACACGCTTCGCTGGGCAGTGGCCGCGGTGTGGATCGGGGAAGGGGCCAGGGCACGGGGGTCGAGAGGGGCGGGGCAGGGCAGGCCACGCGCTGGACGTCCGCGTCAAATTAATCTGAAGGCGGGGCAGAGATGCCAGCAACCCTGTGGAAATACAGTCGAAACACCTGTTCCCGTCGAATCAACGGAGTTACTGCTACCAGCCGTGCTTTGGAACATCGAAGTAGCTTCACTCCACGTGTTTGCTTTAATTGAACATTTCTTACCGTTTCTTTACCTTCAGAAGAAACTTATTTGCCATTTACAAAACTACTACGACAATTCACATGAAGGATAATTTTCGCGACATTCTACCCTTTTTGAAATAATAGAATAATTATCACAAATCAACTAGTTAAATTTCTGATCCTGAAAAACAACTGATTTAATTTTTCTGTTAACTGCTTACTGGTTGTGTTGTGTAACTAGATGTGTAATTATATGCGAGTCCGATATTACTATTTCGCAGATTCGTTAAATGAAAGAGAAATATAACATTCTAATGAAACATGTTGCTACAAGAAATACATACGCCCGTAGTGATTCATTTTCGAAACGTCGTAGTTTTGTGACCTCGTAACAGTTTGCGGTTAATCAATATACATTTAGAGAATTAAATGCAAAGTGGTGTTCATTAATGGAATGAAACTGAGAATTTACTTTATTTTCCAACGATTCAATTAACATGCAATACAAAATCTTTCATTCATATCCTCCATTTAATAATTTACTAAATTAAATTTAAATACTGCCATTACAATAAATGATTTAATTTAAATGCACTGACAGAATCTTAATCATCGTAACGGAGATGTCACAAGATAGTAAGTTGATTTAGTTGGATTATTACCCTACACTATTACCCCTGCACAGTTGCCATGATACATTTTAGCAGTCGTCGGAGAGAAGACACAATCACAGAAAAGCGAATGCATTTCCTCTATAAACTCACTTGTACTTTGCACGATCCTCACTTGGCTACCTGAAGGGCATCGGCCAACTGGACAGGAGCCAGAGAATTCAAGAGATACCAGCCACACTTAGTTAGGGAATAAAAGTTAGTATAAATGAGAATTAGAGAGACTGCGACAATTTTGTGGGAAGTTTCTATAGGCCCGAGATCAAGATCCTTCACCAATTTCATCTAAACTGACAAGAAAAGGTGTGAGCATAAAGATTACAAGATAACTTCAAAACCATTGTTATCCACATTTTGGAAGTCATAATACATTTAATAAATTTTTCTAGGAAAAAAGATATTTATTCACATCTATCACTTCAAATTGATACAACTGCTCTAAAATAATCGTGAGATATAATAAAATGTGCATTTGAATGACATCTTATGGCTCAAATTAAAAATGATAAACAAGTGGAAATTTTTGAAATATAAAATAAAACGGTTACACAGTATTTCATCATATTTGTCATAAGCTAATGTAATGTTATACCATAGAATTTACCTACTTATCGCGATTATATTTTAATTTTCCTCCCCATCTTTTCTTCAAAAAAGGAAAAAAATATTTTACTAAAGCTGTTCTTTGATTAATAATACAAAAACATACAAGACAGTATTTTTAATGAACGTTTTCTTCTCTAACTCTCGTTTGCCTGTGTGTTAACTTTTAAAAGTATGGAGTGTATTTTACTTTTGGTGAAACAATAATTGGAAGAGAAATTATCTTATCCTTTTATATTTACTTATATGATTAGAAAGTGGTGAATGAAAGAAAGAGGTGAATTGTGACAAAGCATAATTCAATTTCTTACAAAAAACAATGCAAATTAATATTTACTGTCCAATCATTGCAAATTTAAAAAGTGTTCTTTTCGAAAAACCAATTTCATATGCTATATAGTTGAGATATCCTAGGAATATAATTTGTTTGTGGTCATAATAACTACGGCAGCGAATCCAGAGCATCAAATAGTAAAATATTCGTAAATGATCTAAACTGCCACTCACTTCATATCCTATGAATTACAAATTTCAGGAAATTTGCTGGAACGGTTTTGCGCTCTCAATCCTTTACAAGTTTGTTGAAGTTTACAAACACCTTGCTCTTTGCAAGTTCACTGACCTGAGAAGTTTCCTAAACATCACTATAACATCTCCAAAATTTACTAGAAGAGAAAGTTCCTTAATATATCTCAGTATTATCAATAAAATTGTTATTGCCCTTATCATTCACGTAAGACTAAGACAAAAATAACTCTCACGTAAAAAGAGAAGTAATTTTCAGAAATCAATGGAAACCAAAACTAAAATCTCCGACTAATATTTAACGCCTCAAAACAATTAACACGATAAAATTGAAACATCCGGATTAAGGAATATTTGAGAGAGTATTCAAACATTGATCAGTATACTTAACATATTCTACCATATCTTACACTAAACGAACTGCACATGATATAAGAATATATTATGATCACCATTAGTTGCTCATTCTTGAATTCACTCGGCATCTAGAGACCCTCTTCTTTATAAAAGCGAATAATATCCATTTGGCCGAAAATGTCAGACCATCATTTACACTACAACGTCTCATTATATGTAGTATCGAAAGCTGCCCCCGATCGCCTAGCACACTCGTGTCGTGTGGTTGCAGGTGGACCAAATCCCGCCCGGCATCAGCGAGCGCTACCTGCTGCAGCCCGAGCGCTTCGAGACGGAGCTGCGCGAGTACCGGCGCTACGTGCGCGACATGATCGCTTCGTACGCGCGCCACCAGGGGCGCGACGCGCGCCGCCGCCGCCACCACTTCCCGTCGTCCGACGCGGCCGACGACCGCGACGAAGACGACCGCTACGAGGAGGACGAGGACGAGGACGACGACGTGCACGGGCCCGGGCCCGTCCTCAGCGCGCTGCGCGGCGACGCCGGCGGCGTGGGCGCGGCGGCGGCCGCGGGCGCCGACAACTACGAGGCCTTCGCCGACCGCTTCGCCGCCGACGTGCTCGACTACAGCACGCGCCTGGCCAAGGTAGGGGCGAGGGAACCGCCCGACTGCATCCCGCGCTCAGTTGCGCCTCACCCCCGTTAGTCCTTCACTTTTCGTTACCTCAGACGGCTTAGCCCGACTGCATCCCACGCTCAGGAACCCCTCACCCCCGCTAATCCTCTTTCGCTTTTCGTTGCCTCAGACGGCTTAGCCCGACTGCATCCCACGCTCAGGTACCCATCACCCCGGCTAATCCTCTTTCGCTTTTTGTTACCCGAGACTGCTTAGCCCGACTGAATCCCACGCATAGGTACCCCTCATCCCCGCTAGTCCTCTTTCACTTTTCTTTTCCTCAGACGGCTTAGCCCGACTGCATCCCACGCTCAGGTACCCCTCACCCCCGCTAATCCTCTTTCAATTTTCTAGCTTTAGACGGCTTAGCCTGACTGCATCCCACGCTCAGGTACCCTTCACCCCGGCTAATCCTGTCGCTTTTCGCTGCCTCAGACGGCTTAGCCCGACTGCATCCCACGCTCAGGAACCCCTCACCCTGGCTAATCCTCTTTCGCTTTTCGTTACCCGAGACTGCTTAGCCCGACTGAATCCCGCCCGCCCATTTCGAAAGGAGTAAACGTTTTTGTTAAGTTGCTATTCATAACTTGTATTGATAAACTTCCAGGTTCACCTTTAAGACAGACAATTTTCAAGAGACAGTAACGTATTTTTTTTCAACAAATTGTAATCACTTAATCCATTTATTAACTATTTCTATTCACAAGTAGCGCCAAAAGATGTTCTCGCACCAGCCCAAAGAAAATCTCGAACGCAAGTGAACCTGACAGAATCTTTAGAATTAAGTATGAAAAGTCAAAGAGGTTAGAAGAGTCTCGTGATAAGAGGTGTCACTTTTTTTCCACAAACGTCTAAGAGTGGTTTTCACAGGGCTTTAAAAGGATGCGGAAATGTTTCATGAAAACAGACAGGAATAGATCAATTATAATCGATCTATTCCTGTCGATCCATTCGATATAATACTAAATAGGCCAGATAAACGTGGAAATCAATCCTTGCATTGAGAAAAACAGAACAGGATGGAGTTGCGCTAAGCATTTTTGGGAGAGGTAGGTAAACGGCTGAAGAAAAGTTGAACGCGGAATGTAGTCGGCATACGCCGAAAGAACAGTTCTTCAGGAGCCCGTAATCCAAGCATGTCATGGTCGTGAGCGAGGTAACTAGATTATAAAAGTTCATAGGCACTGCGACCAGAGCAACTGGTCCGAGGTGTAAACGTAGGGGTTGTATATATTCTTCGGGGTGGTGGATACCTGGCCAATGACAGTTTCTGGAGAAGTCGTTTGACAGTTATTGTCCCAAATGTAGCTAGTATATTAATTCCCTTCTTCGACTAAAGCAAATAAATGATATATTGAAATGTAAAATAATATTTCAGTTGTATTTGACATTGTCCGTTGAAAGTTATATTAAACATATTGAATCAAAAGTTGAGTTTGTTATCGTGTCTACAATAATTGCATTAACTTCTTAATGCACTAAATTGCTTAACAATGATTCGTGTCTCTTAAAAGAGCGCCCGTAATTCTTAACTTACAGACTTTAATTTATCACATTACTGATATAAACAAAATAACTGAATGGATTAATAAAAAACAAAAACAAAACCGAAAAGAATTCACCATTCAAACATATCCCGGAGCTGAAAAAAATGTTTATGCAATGTATAATTTAAGAATAAAATAAACATGAGATAGAAATAATTAGTAAAGAATATAATCGTAGTTAAAAATGTAGTTTGTTTCGTAGAACAAATCTGGGAAACATATTTTCGTATGTACCCTCTATTTCCGACCTCGTGCCTCTTGCACCACCAGCTTGGGCATATGTACCAGTTTCTGGATACGAAGGAGTAATCACAACGTAGTCAGTGGAAGTTGCACGTGCTTGTAGGAGCGCCGGGCTTCACGCCGGCGGCCCAGATCATGCGGGAGCCTTTTGACAAGTCCGTAATTCTAATAGTTTTACCCCTGGGAGACCTGTGATGTAGTGGTCATAGCAGATGGCTTCCACCTCCGTTGTACCAGGACTCAATGATTGAATGAATGTCCATCAAATGGTAAAATTTAAAACCTAACAGTTTTCTACAAATTAATTCATGTTTACACAACCCTATTCATTTCAACAAAAACTTTCCTTTCAGTTAATGCAATATATTAAGTCGAAGTATTAATTCACTTAATGCAACTTTTAACCGAGCGATGTGGCTCATGGCTTAGCACGTTGACTTCGCCTTGGGTTCAATTCGTGGCTTCCCTTGGTCATCCAGGCGAAGGTTGGGAAGATACTACTGAAAGTTCACGGCCGCCAAACCGCTGTATCTGTTACCTACAGCTAGCCGAAATCGTTATATATATGAAGTCACGAATGTAAAGCGAATGCGAGAAAAAGCAGGTTCCTGATTGGGTGACCGACTAGGAACCCCGTAAGTTAACGGCGGCGCCGAGGCCAAATGCCTATTAAGGGACATATAATGGCTAAATTTAAAAGTACAAAATATAAATGGAACTTGTAATATAGGTAACGATATTTACATTAGGTAAGAGAAAGTGCGTTGCCTGGTCGCCTGGTCGTGATGCTGAATATGCAATCTGCACAACGTTACTGTGTAGCGGGAAAACGCCCCTCGAATATCTCATTTGACCAACGTACAAAGGGGACTTGTTTTGATCGTATTGTCTTCAGAAGCGCGCGAGCGCAAGCACACACACGCACGCAAATTACGTTATATTTAATTAATTCTTAGATATTTCATCATGAGCTACAAAATATAAAGTAACAGCATTTTGAAAAAAGACAAAGGCGTGTGAATGTTACAAAATTAATGAACGGCCAACGGAAAAGAAGCACTGTTTTCCAAAGGCCTTTCTAAACAGAACTGAACATCGAAACAAAGAATATAGAAATATGCGGTTCAGAAAATTACTAAATAAAACCGTTTTTCCAAATTTATAAAATACTTTTTTTTAAATTCGGTAAAGGTAACGAACGTGTGATATAAAAATAAATTAATAAACATGTAAATTTATACAAAACATATATGCATGAAATGTTTCTTACTTTCTAATGCATCAAATACAATGTTTTTTTAAATTAAAATTTAATTGAACCAAAATGATTGAACGTCATACGATCAAATTTTTGCAATAAAGAAGGATTTTTATTTATTTTCAACTGAGGCAATGCTAGCTCCATACAGAGCTGCTTATTGCCTTATGAAATAATTAGCTTCAATAGCTCAAATTCTTTGAAAGGATGAATAAAATATTTGGATACACTATCGATTAAATATTCGTAGAATAAACGTAAATATAACACCTGCAGAACTAGAAAACCTTTTCATCAAATATTTTGTCATATATTGTAGAAAAATATTTACTCTCATATTTTGGCATTACACTTCAATATTAGAATTTAATCATTTTTCGTATGATATAATTTACAAATTGAGAAGAAATATTTCTGCACATTTTCGAATCAATATCTCCTCATCGGTTTCTGACTTTCTTCAACGCAACCAATAACCACTTATCTTCGAGCGACGATTCGAACACGATTCGATTTCTAGGGTCTACTGTTATCTCACTAGGGAAGCGTGTGAGCTTAAAACAGTCCAGTGCCTGCCTTACACCGTCAAAAGACCTAATAGACTGTAGCGATTACTGGCGTATTGGAGAACGATAGACCCTATGGAACAACGGAGAATGGTTACTGGAGAACGGGTCTTCGCCAAAGTGCCGTCGCTTGAGAATCTCTCTCCCGAGTCGCTTGTGCACCATCAAACACCCAGTACCGCACCAAGGAATAATGTGATATTCAGGCATTCACTACTACAAACGTGATTCAATAGTCAGACGATAAACTGGTCTCGGCATTCTCTCTTAAACGGACTGTAGTCTGAATTGAGTCAGCGTTATAATAGAGTATAGAATGCACGAATATACTAGACCTATTCTCATTTTACATGTCAGCAAAATTACTGCTTAGAGCCCTTCATATCTCAATAGTCTTCTCGTATCTGCTCGTACTTATCTCCCACTCACTTTCACCATTTGTAGTTATTAATTATTGCCCTTATGCTTCGTACTGAGTTCTAAATACACATTGTTAAGTGCTTAAGTATCTCCCGCTTACAATAACGTTGGATTTTTAAAATATTAGTACGGATCATCTGAATGGGATTAATTAGGTTTTAGATTGTGGAAAGGTCCTTCTGGAACATCAAGTGATTAATGCGTTCCGACTATCGCAAAGGCTCTTCATTTTTGGAGTATCGAGCTGTATTTGGCTCGTCGCCTGAACAAACCAGTTATTATGAAGCTCATTTCATGAGAACTAATTTTTTTAATTTGCATATCGATAAACTATCAAGCCACTCTTTAATCAATAAAACTCAATACACACATAAAATTTGGGATAATTTTATATCGAGAAAAGATGAAAATTTTTCTATAAAACTTGTATTAAAAATACACATTTAATTCGTAAAATGAAGTTCTAAAAGATCCTCTAACCAGCACGCAAGTGTATTTTCTGCTTCATCATCAACAGACAAATAGGGCTCAGAGTCGATGGACCTGCTTGGTTCCCGCAGACAATTCTCACTGATTTTACCGTTGGAACTTTATATTTGAATTTAAAAACATTAATCTATGTACACTCAGCTAAGTTCCTCATTTAAGGATACTATAATGGGCAAAATGCCGCGCTTAATTTTCCTATACAATTCAATACATATTGAAAATGTGCTTGAAATATTAACACAACTTTTTCATTTATTGTACTTCCTTGTTTTAGGGTGCTGAATTACTTGCAAGCCTCCTTCCTTGTCTCTGTTTGATATACTTTGTTTAACCCAACGTACGTACGTGCGCCATTTCACCATAAGAAACTACATAGCAGAATGTGATTGAAAGTATTTCTTCCCCTTCTTCAACGTTCATCATTTTATTTGGTTTCGAAAACTAACCACTTTCGCACAAATTATCAGTCTTTACGAGTATACTCCATCCCCTGAGGGGTATTAAAGCCAGAAAGATTTTTTTTGAAATTATTTAATGTATCTAGTTTAATTAAAATGTATGATTTTATTTTCAGTAACTAAATAACATAAATCATCATAACGCGTCATCAAAAAGCTATTAAATAATTCTTAGAGTGGATTGTAATACATCTGCTTGTCAACCATGGATTTGTATGTTAGTAAAAACCTATGATAATTCGTCGCAATCTCTAACACAAATATAGTATTCTCTAAAAATACGATATTATGAAATTATATTTTACTGAAATTATTTTCAGGCAAGTATCTCATTAGTAATATATTTCTTTGGATTCTTAAAGACGACATTAAATAAAGAAACATGTTGCCATTATTTTTACCTTTTCGCGAGCCTCCAAGAGTCTAAGCGAATAAACTACCTATATCCATGCAATCGAATGAATAACACAGATTTAGACTCTCTGAAACCATGTTACCCAAAGCTGTTTGATTATATGTCCCACTGCTTTGAAAAATGACTCACAAGCTTGCAAGGACAAGCTCCAGAACAGCGTGGCCAGATTTAGCGAGTTTCAGTGCGACCGTTTTATGGGAGGTTTGTTTGGCCTCGCTGAGGGATGAGGGGTCTTTTTCCATAATAAAAACATAATTTAACGCATCACAGAACGGAGAGGTCACGTACGAGGAGATTCGGAAGATTTATTAATCAAAATAAGTGCTTCCAGCAACTTCCTCCGCGCGGTACTTAAAGGAACTCCGAAGAGCCGTTGAATAAACCACCCATTCAAACAACCAGATAACGATTCTTACAAACCACATAATGCTCTTTACAAAATATTGAAACGCTCCTGACGCATTTGGTTGTTACAGTCATAGAGTACAAAGTGAATTTGTCATTGTCTTTCCGAATATAAAGATAATAAAAACACCGATCAATGTATAAACACAAATTATTGGAGAAGGGAACAGAAAGAGTGTATGAGGGGAAAGAATGCTTAACTTATACAAATAACTTACGTATATAAGAATGACACAAAGTATTCAAGGTAATACATGATATCTCAGAATTGATTGTATAAACATCTAGGGGATATAGAGAAGTCAAAAAGGAACCCATTTTGCCAATGAACAAGTAATGGAAAATTTAATAAATTAGAATTACATTTATGACATTTGCCCCTGAATGTTTGGCAACTCCCACACCCCAATGCCGGTCATATCGCATTCTGATGCAGTCAACGCAATTTTATGTATTTACCGAAAACCGTTGAATGTAAATTTGTTTAAAAATAAAGAGACAAGAAAGTAGTATGATTAATTTCGTTACATGGAATTTTCGACCAAAATTTCATTGGCAAAAAGGCATCGTCTTGATTTCTCCACGTGTTCTAGAAGATTATAACATTTATTCTGAGATACTTGTTGATACATCAAGATATGTAAATTATTTGCGAAAGTACGGTATCGCATTACCTTGTCTAGGCCAGAGGTGAAGGCGTAACACTTCTGGGCTCTGGGGCATGCGTCCGCCGAGCAGAGCCCGTGCCGGCGCTCTTCGCCGATACGTCCTCTCAGATTGTACAATATGCAGTAGGGGAGACGGAGAAGTTTGGTACCAGTTGCTAGACTTTATTTCGTATGCAACTCGTTTTTAGTTTTCTTCTTCTCGCGAGTGTTTTACAGCTCTTGTGGCTGTTTCTCGCATTCAAATCTCTGTACCACTCTATCGTTCCAGTTATTCTCTTCTAGTCGTTTTTAGATTGGACAGGTTTTATTGTGTTAATGTGTACTACATTCATTGGGCTACGTTACGGTATCATTTAACCTTGAAACTGTCGAACGTTTCCTCTGAGAAGGCTTTACCATCGGACCACCGCCCGACAGACAACGCACTATTGCGGCCTTTACACGAAATATGTAGTTGATCTCAGGTGTCTGTTGCTCGTGTCATCTCACAAGGGACGGGAAGGACACCCATTGAGCCCACTCAATTGCGCCCAGAAGGCCGAAAGACAGACCTACAGCACAGCACCTAATTATAAATTCAATGAAAAGATTGATATATTTTGAAAATACTTCAGAAATGACACGACACTTTATTGGGTCACAATGGTATGTAGTAGAGTAACGTAGACTAGTACAAAGAAGTAATGCAGCCGGAAAGGTGGAACACTACTAAATGGATTTATATTTTATATTAAAAATCTCCGGAAAGTTACACTCTTAGTTCCACAACAGTGATATATCTGACAGTTTCCAAAGTTTTTTTCACACTACGACAACAGATCCAATCTCCTGATAATTCAACGGAGCACGCTTGCGAGGTCACAAGCATTGCATTCGTATTGTCTGACACTCCTAATCTAGGTTCCGTGAATGGAAGAGGCATAGCCTTATGCGCAGTCACACTATAGTATTGTTATCTGCATTACTTCGGTAAATAAACACATGCCTTCGTAACATAATTATTCAATAATTCGTGAGCCATTCACAATATGTCATTTCTTTCTCGTTAGTACAACACAATACCATATATTTCACGTGATTTGAAACTCCAGGAAGAGATAACAACCAATTACATTTTTCGCTTTTAATCAACCAATTTCGATATCGAGAATGGCTCTCTGGAGAGGGCAACGAACATGGTGTCGACGTTTGTCTCTTTTCAGTGAGAACATTTGAGTTATTTGACGAGATGCCTCCCGTGAAGTTTTGCTCCAGGTGTCGATGACCAACAAGGGAAAGAAAGAAGGCGTTAATTTGATGAATCGTCGTGTTAAAGAGATTGCCTCCAATTTCCATCCAAACATTGAAAAGGGTGAATCAAATTCATCGCAACAAGAAACATCTCAGAGTTCTTTTTCGTTTGTTCTATTTAACACAGGCAAAAACATTGTATCAAGAGTTATAAAATACATTCTCAAAAAAATAATACATCATAGTCTTTGCAAGGCCCTGTTCAATAAAAAAACCTTCATCCAATAAAGTTATTGTATTCTCAAAAATAACACTGTCCAAAAGCAAAACTGAAGATTAGCGAGAATGAATTTAATAACTTAAACGTAATTCAAATCATTCCCGTACTCAAGACGACGACCATCTTTCCCATATTCATCAAATAAAAAAGTTGGATGTGTGGTTTGCGAAGTTGGATGTGTGAAATTTGTGTATGGTGGCTGTTTACAAGGGTAATATTTTCTTTTAAATGAAAATTTAAATCTTCTATCTATTAACAAAGAAAAAACTCGCCGGAGCGGGAATATTTTCGAATAGAGAAGAACTGCTTACCCTCTTGTGCAGATTATGACGACGGCGGAGCAGCGGCGCGACACAAGGCGCGTCTTCCACGAAATGTCAGTGCGCGACCTGCAGAAGCTGATGACGGTGCCGCAGCCAGGAGCGCTCATGCCGGTACGTGCGCCTTACACTGTAACAGAAAGGGCAATTACTCCCAATAGCACTACTTCCTTAATGACATCCTCCCAGAGTTTCTAAAGAAATCATGGTATTTATGATATTTCAATCTCAGTTAAAAGGTCCAAAAAATAATATTTGTTAGTGACGACGATGGTAATAATGTTATAAACAAGATTAATAATAACAATAATAATTATTATTATAATATTATTATATAATATATAAAAATTAATGTTATAACTGATAGCGATCAGTTGAAGTCAGCCATAAGACATCCACCGTAACCAATATTTATATATATTATTCCAACTAAAAAATGAATAAAAACGAGAAAAACAAAAAGAGATGTGAGTAAATTTTTATTTGTAATCCTGCAGCAGTAATTCAGTAACCTTCATCGATTACTAGATTCAAAATAATTCGAAACTGTAATATTAATAGGATATATGGTTTAAAACTATGCTTTAATTTATTCATATTCAATACGAATAATAATTTGAGTTCAAAGTAAACCATCGTGAGTATTAAAATTTAAAAAATATACAGTATTAAAGTTTAGCTTGTTTCGTTAACCGCAAATAAAAATTAGTAATGTCTAATTGTGTTGTGCAATATTTATATTCACAAGTTGTGAAGGTTTTATTATTTTTGAAATTGAGAGTTTTTTATTGTATGATTCGTCATTAAATTATACATACTGTATTGTGGTTGTACCTTTCAACCGGAAACAATGTACTTTCAAAAATAATATATATAATTATTATTGCAAAAATAACAGTTTATATTAATTTCACGTGAAAATAACACGTGGTATAACAACAATAATATTAATTGTAGAATTATTATTAACCAACAGAAAGCTACCAAATCCAGTTATAAATATTTTGAGCTATTATTAAAATATAACAAATTCTCCATTTACAATTCAATTATCAACTTTAGTCTATCTTCGTTATCCTTTACTAGAGAAAGTAATTACCCAAAGACCTCTTAATGGCTCCGTGTCAGTAAATTCTTGGTCTTCTGGCTTTGTTCCAATCACTTTGTGGACCCCATGCCGTTTTATTATCGATAATGGAAATATGCGATTCGTAAAATTTGAACAGGTTCTTGGTTAGTAGATACGCTAAGAGCAAAATTGACAGATTTCTATATTCAACTCTATCAAGAACTTTATAACAAACTAAAAGAAACATAAATGTGTGCCGCGATGTTGTAATCCAGACCTATGTGATTTAACCTCTTTTGCAACCATCTTGGATCTTTAATACTGTTTCAGATGAATTGGACACGCTACTTGGAGACGGTTTTTAGCAACACCAACGTGACGTTGGATTTCAACAAGGACATAGTTGTCGTTATGGACAGTACCTACTTGGAGAAATTAGCTGGACTCTTAGCCAACACGGATCAGGCGACGCTGGGTGAGCTCTGTCTTCCCACAGCCCGAGCCGGCGTTATCTATGCGCAAACTAGGCGACTGACTAGGGCGCACACATCGAAGGGACTCAGTTCTGACCCTGTGCCAATGTAAAATATTTTATTTTTCACTGACACGTTATATCGTGTTATTGCCTTTGATATGGAGCTCGATATAGAACGCATAAATTACCTGGACTGAGAGGACCGGGGATACGAGGAAAATAATAAAACAATTCAATTATTTAACATGTTCTCTTATGGAGACAATTATCTCTCTCCGTCTCTCTCTCTCTCCGTCTCTCTCTCTCCGTCTCTCTCTCTCT